ACCAAGTGTTACAGTTACTCTGGGAATCAATGTAGAGTTTATTTATAAAATGTGGATCTACCATGTGACCAAGCTGACCAGTCCTGGGCACACGACTCTATATTCTACAGAGACACTTGTTCATCCGTGTTCATTGCTGCTCTATTCACAATGACCAGGAAATGAAAACAGCCTAGATGTTGGTAAACTGTTGAGTAAATAGTGAAGTGAAAATGTGGTCCATTTGCCTAATGGAATATTACTCATCTGTTAAGAAAAATAAAATGAAATTTGTGGATGAAGCTGCAAATGATTAATCTGAATGAAGAAACCCAAACCTGCAAAGGCAAATGCCACATTTTCTTTTGAGTAAGTGGGTGTAGCTTTGAGTCTTTAGAGATTTCTGTTTAGATTGGAGCACTCACAGAAGTCAGGAAGCTAGTAAGTGTTACGAGCAGTTTTTCTCCCAGCCTGGTCCCAGAGCTGCGTCAGTCCCAAATAACACACAGAGACGCTGTATTAGATATAAAGCTGTTGGCCTGTTACTAGCATTTCTTATCGGCTAGCTCTGTCTTAAATATTAACCCATTTCTACTAATCTAAGTGTTTCCACATGGTCTCACCTTACCAGAGGGAGAGGTCAGACCTCTTCTCTCAAGTCTCTACATCTTGAATCTCTTTACTACATCTCCCAGAATCCTCCTTGTTTCCTAGTTCCACCTATCTTGCTTCCCTATTGGCCAACACTGTTATATTCATTAACCAATAAGAGAAACATATTTACAGAATGACATCTCCCATCAAGTAAGGGTCAAATGGGCCGGGCGTGGGCGGGGGGAGGCTTAAACAGAGGGGGAGAGAACATAGGTAGTACAAAGAGAGAATGGAGAAAGAAGGATACAGGAGGTTGATGTAGGAGGACAGGATAGAGGAGGATATACAGGGAGGTGTAACTAACATGAAAGGCCTTTGAGACAGTCATATGAAAACCCACCACTGTTGAAAGAGTTCTAAAATATATACATACACAAACACCAAAAAAAGCGTTTAAGTGCAGTTACCCTACAACAGGAGACAACGCCTCTCCCAGGCATTGTAGGCTATTAAACAAAAAGCACAGTTCCTGATCAGGGTCACCTCTTTCTGAGTTATTTGTCAGTGGAGTCCCATAGACCTCAAACATTCCACAGTATTGCCTCAGCTCCCTGTTGCTGTTTTAGTGTGCTTTTCTGCTGCTGTGCTAAACACTTGTGACCAAACGTAAGTTGAGAGAAGGAAGGATTTATCTGAAATTATACTTCCACGGACTGGTCCAACACTGAGAGAAGTCAGGACAGGAGCTCAAGTTAGGAACTTGGAAGCAGAAATGGGAGGCGAGGCTGTGGAGGAGAGCTACTTACTAGCTTGCTCTCAGATTCAGGGTCAACTGGCTCAGGGCCACTTGCTGAAAACTGTAGCCCCCCACAGTGGGCTGAGCTCTCCACTATCTGTCATGAGTCAAGACAGTCTCTCAGAGATGCCATCATAAGACAACATGATCTGGTCAGTTCCTCAAATGTGGTTCCCTTTTCCCAGGTTCCTGGGTTATGTCAAGTTCATAATAGAACCAACCAGGGCAATCCCCCTTCAGAATTTGATGATGAGACCATTTTGCTGAAGACACCATATACTGGATTCATAGGACATGGAGAAATCAAACTGAATCCAGCCTAAAAGCTTCATTCCCATTGACTAGTGGATGTGCTCATGTGCATAGACTGGTAGGACCAAAGGCACTCAGTGGCTTAAGATGAAAAAGTGCTCGTGAGACTAGAGAGACAGGTGGTGGTTAGAAGTATCGGGACCTGAGTTTAGTTCCCAGCACCTACAGGGCAGCTTACAACCGCTTGTGACTCCAGTCTCAAGGGATCCAGTGCCTTTATCTGACCTCTGGGGGCACTGCATGCCCAAGGTTCACAGGCATCCTTGCAGACAAAGAAACCACACACACAACCTTAACAATGGGAAACAAATGTTTTAAAAGGACAGTGACCTTGACATTGGAGAGAAAGTGGTGGTGGATTAGGGGAGGAGTTTGAGGTAAGGAGTGGGGGGGTGCTTTTAATGAAAAGATGTTATATGCATACATGAAAGTTCTCCTAAATAAAGGATGGGAAAAATGCGGGGGGGGGGGGAGGGGCAGGGGCGTCATTTTCTACCAGGTAGAGGCCAGCCTAGTGCTCTCTCTCTTTCTCTCCCTTCCCCTGTCCCTTTCTTTTTCTCTCATGCATACACATTATTACTTATTTGGTGATAACTGTTTAATATCCTTAAATGATTTCTTCAAGCTAAGTCCATTTATAGATATAATTATCTTATTAATATTCTTTAAAAGTGGCATAGTGCTGGGTCCAGTGGCACTTGCCTATACTTCCAACTTGTGGAAAAATGGAGGTAACCTTTGCTACATAGCAAACTCAGAGCCAGCAGGGGCTACTGTCTCAGTTAGCATTTTATTGCTGTGATTAAAAACACATCAAGGCCAAAGGTAAGTCAGGAAATAACTTACTCGTTTTCACTTTCCCATCACAGTCTATCACTGGGGGAGGTCAAGGCAAGACCCCCGAGGCAGGAACTGAAGCAGAGCTGTGGAGGGTACTGCTTCCTGGCTTGGTCCTCATGGCGGACTCATCCTGCCTTCTTACAGCACGGAGGACCGTCTGCTCAGGGGTGGCACTGCTCACAGTGAGCTGGGCCCTCCTATACCAACCATCAGTGAAGAAAATGCTTGCACCCAGGCTTGCGGACGGGGACGGGACATTTTATGTCTAGTTGACATAAAACTATCCAGAACATCAACCTAAGATCTTGATACCTTGTCTCAACCTCTCCCTCTGGGGGGAAAAAGCACATAGGAATGATTTATATAGTGCAGCAGAGAATGCCACAGCAATGTCTTTTTTTTATAATAGCAATATTATATTTTATTACTACATGTATGTTCATTTTGCTATTTAGCATTGGTATTTGAAAAATCACTCATCTGCAACTGACACTTCTATCATTTTCAGTCTTAGTCCTTTGACACAGGGGTTTTCTCTGAGCTTGGTCCTTTTGTGTTTTGGCCTAGGCTGGTAGTGTGCAAGCCTCCGTGACCCCTCAGTGTCTGTCCCCATGGTGCTAGGATTCTAAGCACCTGTGATCCTATGTCGGCCTGGTTACCTGGCTGTTAGGACGGAATTCAGGTTTTCTGGTTGAGCAGCAATACTTTTCACTACGAAGCCACCTCTCCAGCTGTGTGTATGAAGATCTATGGGCCCTCAAACTTACCAGATTATGTTCAGTGCTATGTATGAAACTGTAGTCTTAGTACACATGGTAGGAAGATCACTTAAACCCAGGAACTCTAGGCCAGCTTTGTCGACACATCGAGTGTCTGTCATAACAAACACAAATGAAAATAGCTTATTCGACTTATTCTTAACATGGAATCAAAATTGCAAATATTAGTTTCAAGGTCTGTGGAAATAAGGAGTCCTGAGGCTTTTTTTTTTTTTTTAAATCAGGTTTATGACAGCTGCTTCAAGGAGCATAAATGCATGAAATCTGTGGTGGAGGTCTTAAATGTGGAGTGTGCTGAAAGGTGCGGTCCCCAGTTGATGGTGTTGTGGGGGAGGTGGAAACCTTTTGCAAGTAGGGCCTAGCTGGTGGAAGTTTGGTAACTCAGGGTACATCAGAGGAGGGTGCATTAAGACCGCAGTCTCTCAGTTTTGACTGCTGCGATTCCATGATGGAGGTGAGTAGTTTTGCTGAATATGTCCCCTACCAGGATGACTTGACACCTACCCACAGCAAAGGGCTGAGTGGCTGTGGACAGAAACCTATGGCACTGTAAGCTAAAGTAACTCTTCTAGGTTACTTATCTCAGGCTTTTCCTCAAAGCAACAGAAGTGAACATAAATTCCCAGTACTTCTTCATTAGAAATGTACGTAATTAGGATTCCAGGACATGTCACACACCTTATCAAACTTACTTTGTGTGCTCAGTGTCTGGGACTGCAATTGAGGAAATCAGCTCAGGTGTCTGGTCACACAACACACGCTAGCCACTACTGCAATAATTTTGTTATTTATTGAGAATGACTTTAGTAACTTTATTTCCCTTACTCTTTCCTTTTTGATTTAGTAAAGGTAATACCCTCTCTGGCTCTTTCATAGTTATTGTGAGGCTCCCCTCCCAAGCCAGAACCAACTGATAAAATACATGAGTGTGTGTTGTTACCTAGAAAGTGCCATCCACACGCCAGGCATTGCTCCCCAGGGTTAATTTGATATTGTTAATTTTACGATGTTTAGGAAAGAAAAGGTGACTTTGGCAAAGGTGAATCACTAAAGATTTTATTAGAGGTGGGAGGAAGCAAATGACTAGAGGAACATGACTGGATGCTGGAGGTATTGAGTTGACGCTGACAGTTTGACATGCAATGCTAAGGAAAGATGAAATAAGTAGACTAAGAGATCGAGGTCTAATTGTACAAAAGACCCAGGGTACATTCTCTCTCTCTCTCTCTCTCTCTCTCTCTCTCTCTCTCTCTCTCTCTCTCTCTCTCTCTCTCTCTGTCTCTCTCTGTCTCCGTCTGTGTGTGTGTGTGTGTGTGTGTAAAACTTGCCATGGTTTGACCCGTTAGATTTTTTTTTTTTTGACACTGCCTCATCCCATTATACTTTGCTTCCTAGGTTTCCAAGCCTCTGCCTGGAGAAATCCTGACTCTTAAGGCTGAGCATCAACGCTCCTCTCCTCCAGCGGGTTTGCCCACTCTCTCCTGCCTCTCCCACAGGAAGAATAAATGGTTCCTTTTCAAGCCTTTCCTGTGAAAGCGCTTCTTTCACTGGAGACCGAGGGGGACGCAGCTTTCCTTATTCGGTTTCCTGGACCTGCTCTACTGTCTGCCACGAAATAGGCACCCGGCGAAGGTTTAGGCAGTGAAAGCACTTTGAAGAAAGAACTTTCAGAAGTTGCGAGGGCATTTAAGGCCAGGATTCTAAGAAAGAACGCCTCGCACACACGCACTGGCCATCATTATCTCCAGGGTCGCTCTGAGGGCGCAAGCGGCCCCTGCGGCGGGGCACCGGGCCTGGGAGCCGCGCGAACCCCTCGGGGAGGCCCCCCTCCCACGCCAGCCGGCGCCGGGGGCGTGGCCTGCCCGCGGGGGCGTGGCCTGCCCGCGGGGGTTTCCGCGCCCGGGGCGTGCCGGGCGGGGGATGCGGGGCGGGGCTTCCGCCAGGAGGGGGCGGGGCTTGCGCCTGGAGTTCTCTGACGGCCCCAGCCAGGGAATTTCAATTTGAAACCCGGCGGAGGGTGGAGGCGGCGGACGCGGAGGGCCGGCGGCCGGGGCTGAAGCGGGACGTGTCCCGGGGCGAGCAGGCTCGAGAGGGGCGGTGTCCGGGTAAGGAGGCGAGCGGGCTGGGCGGGCGGTGGCGGGCGGCGTCCCCTCGGGCTGCAGGCGGGAAGCCGACCCCGGCAGGAAGCCCGGCGCGGCTGTCCCGGGCGGGGGAGGGGGCGGCCGTGGGCCCTTCTGCCTCCCCGCCAGGACGGCGGCACCGTCCCCGGGCTCCCCCGGGGTCGCAGCCCAGGCATGCGACTCCATCGTGGGCGCGGGGCTCGGCCGCGCCGGCGCCCTCCGGGGAGGGCCAGGGCTCGGGGTGGCCGGACGCGGGCCCGTGGGGGCGCGCGGGCTCTGCGGGAGTCGGGGAGGGCGCTGCGCCAGCCCCACGCGCGCCGCGGGGTCGGGCCCACGCGGGCGACCCTCCGCCCCCGCCGCCGCCTGCTGCGCGGTCTGGGAGCTGGGGGCCGGCACGCACGTTTTCTGCGGCGAGCCTTCCAGCTCCGACACCAGGCCATCCAGCCGCGGATGGCTTCCTTTTCTCCTGCGCGCTGGCGGGCGGAGGGATGGGAGCAGCTTAGGTGCGCTGCAGGGAAAGGACGCGCTGCACGAAGTAGCGGAGCCCGCTGGTGTGGAGGTTGGCGTCCGGGGACCCCCACCCTCCATCCCAGACGTCTGCGAGGGACATTAGTCATTAAGTGTCCCTGGATCCCAGCCTCTGGCGGGGCCAAGTTGTTGTTGTTTTCTTTCTTCTTCCTATTTATTTATTTATTGAGTGATTGATTTTTGGTTTTGGTGAAGTTAGAAGAGCTCCCGCCCACAGTGTTGTTATTTTGGGGAATGGTCTCTGTGTGGAGCCTTCTGTACAAACCGAGGAAGCCCCTCATTAAATCTCTTCCATTCAGTAAATCTCTGACACCTTAACAGCTGTCCCTCTTTTTTAAGGTCCCTGGGTGGGTGGTAGGGAAAGTAGAACCCGGGGGAGTTGTGAATGTGTTTTCTCCATTCAGAAGCAGGGTTTTCTCTGTTACTTGAACTTTCTAGCATGTGAAATGTCGGATGCAGGGCAGTATGTTCTAATTACTGTGATTAGCTAAAAACAACAACAAACTACTGTCACAGTTTTCTATTAATCTTTCTTCAGTCTTTCCTGTTTTGTTACTATTTTGTGGGTGTATGTTTTATCTCTTGATAACACTGCGTTGACAGCATTTTAGCCTACCCTGTCAGACATCCCCTTGGATTTGAGGGAAACTTGATCCTTTTTTTTGGCTGTGGGAGATGGGGTTGAGAATTCTCAATATTTATACAGGTTTTCCTGGGGGCATGAGTGGTGCGTCGTACTATTTCGTTTGCTTGCAGGCTCCTATGAGAAATCTCGGATTTGCTCTTGCAGCCACTGAAGGGGCTGCACTGCAGTGTGACCCTGGCTCTTGGTAAGGGTCAGCAACTCTCTCATCAGGCTGCTAGTTTGACCTGACTTTTAAAGAGAGAAGCTGTGTCACCTGTCAGGGGTAGCGCGATCATTTCTACAATTCAGTTTTGAGAGCCACTGTCACATGTCACATGTTGCTCTTTGGAGGCGTTTAGAGAACTGGAGGAATAGCAGTGGCTTAGAGCAATGGTGTGGCGTTTTTTGCTAATTTAATCCTATTGTGTGTTCCCTCACTTCTCAGGCAGAATTCCCACTCAAGTCAGTAGTGGTCTTGTGTGCAAACTGACTGCTGAGAACAAGAAAGAGGTTGCTCATTAATAGGAGAGAACAGTTTCTTTCCTTTTAAAGCACACCCCTCCCCCTTTAAGAAAGACCTAGTCATACAGTTCTTTAATCGACACTGGGTGCAAGGAAAAAAAAATGTGTGGACCGATTGATTGAGCTACCAACCCTCAAAGCTCTTCAAGTCTAAATTAGATGGGGATTGTTTAAAAGAATCAAAAGCAATGCCATCATGTAACATAACTCATCTTCATAGATTTGTTTTTGGTATTTCTGTAAAAAAATGCAAACTGCTATGGGATGTTTCAGAATAATTGATTATGGATATTTAAAGTATGCATTTTTAGATCCAATTTGAAAGAAGCCCATTTAGAGCATTAGGGGAAGAATTTGAATGGATGCCCACCACCCACCCCAAAATAACTACAGATAGAAAAGTAAGGAAACTCAAGCCAGGCGGTGGTGGCCCAGGCAGATCTCTTGAATTCTAGGCCAGTCTACAGAGGGAGTTCCAGGACATGCTCCAACTCCAAAGCTGTAGAGAGAGAGAGAGAGAGGAAAAAAAAAAAAAAAAAAAAAAAAAAGAAAGAAAGAAAAGTAAGTAAGTCTTGCTGTACCTTGAGGAATGGCTTTAGGACATTTTGTTCATGTACATTTCTTGTTAGATGTGATTCTGGACCAGGGAGGCCCATCTTTAGATTTGTGAGAGTTCTGACTCTTCCAGCTTGGCTTTGCTGACCTGAGTTGGTGAGCTTGATGTCTTCTGCTTTTTAATATAATGTTCTGTGGTTTACCCTTTCCAAATTACCAGTTCTAAAGATTTGAGCTTAGAAACCTAACCAGTGACCAGAATGTAAAACATAGATATTTAAAAATCAGAATCATGACCACGTGGGCTATCCAAACATATGCTTTCAACTAAAAATACTTACGAAGATGACAAAGCAGTCCTCAACCAAAATATTTATTGGTAAATTTTATCTGTAACTAGTAATTCTGTGTAGTTATGCTTAACATTTAGTCTGCTCTGAATCACTGCCTCATGTTGCTGTGGGTAGTGACTTACAAAGGTGTCTTTGCCATTTTATTTAGGAATGTGGTGTTCATATTTTATGTAGTTGAAGGCTTGATTTTTGTTTCTGTTTCCACAGTAAATTCTGGCCTTTTTTTTTTTTTTTTGAATGGAGGTAGCTGTGGGTAGACATTTTGAAATTATAAATTGCTAGTTTTTTTTTTTCCTTTTTTCTTTTATCTTTTTTTTTGGGGGGGGGCAGCAAAAGTTTTTAGAGATCAATACCACCAACTGGCTTGATGCCTTTCTGAAGTCTGGATTGTTGATTAGAGAAAACAAAGGAAATGTGCCTATCTCCTCCACCCCACCTTTATTTAGAAAGAGTTCCATTAGACTTGCTTCTTCTTCTTCTTCTTTTTTTTTTTTTTTCCCCAGACTGGAGTCGCTGTACCTAACCACTGGGTACATTTAAATGCCTCAAGTAAATATTTATTCTGGCTTCCATAGTCAGCAGATATTAACCAAACCCTAACTTACTGTTCTGTTATAGATGCTTGGGATCAATCTCAGGGATGAACTTTGAATAGTCAGCAAATTTGCTCTTAGCCCTGTCCCTTCTGCCCTCCACACACGCAGACCTTTCTAGCGTCTTTGGAAGACCCCAGTAAACGGGTCCTTCACAGATTGTAGACAGAGCATCCTTTGGGAAGGCCTTGTTTTGACATGAACCAGTAACTTGATATTCATAAGATTTCTATCATTTGTCCATCTGGGCAATGTCCCAAACTAAAATCTAAGATCGAATGACTGCTTTGTTTCATTAACTGTGGGGATATGGCTACCACAGTACCTATTAATAGTGCAATTGCTTAGAAGTTTATAGTAAGGCTATTTGAAAAACCCTTCTCTAATATGTCTAGAAACAATTGACAGTTAACAACATTTTTTTTTTTTTTTTTGATTTTTTGAGACAGGGTTTCTTTGTATTGCTTTGGAGCCTGTCCTAGAACTATCTCTGTAGACCAGGCTGGCCTCAAACTCACAGAGAGCCACCTGCCTCTGCCTCCTGAGTGCTGGGAATAAAGGAGTGTGCCACCAACACCTGGCTCCATGGAACAACTTTTTAAGGACTTTTTTTTTCCTATAAAGTATGTTAGTATATTTTGTGTGAGGTAGAAGGGAATACACATACACAACACACATACATATTTTACATATGTTTGATAGATGGGGAATCTTTATATTATACTCACTAGTGGAAAAATTAATTCACTGGACCTTTTTTTGCATATTTTTAAAGGTTTATTTCGTGTGTGTGTGATTATTTTGTCTGTGTATATGTATGTGCACCAGGCCAAAAGGGTGCTATGCTAGTTCTGTTGGAACTGGCGTTACAGTGGTTGTAATCCCCAGGGAAGTTAAAATCAGACTGGACCCTGGACAAGAGCAGCAGCAAAGGCTCATAACTGCTGAGTCATCTCACCATCCTTCTGTAGTATATTAAGCAAACAAAAAAACAGGGTCTCCTCTGGTATAGTGGTGCTTGCCAGGCAGATTTCTGTGAGTTCAAGGCCAGCCTGGTCTACATTGTGAATTCCAGTATAGCCAGGCCTATGTACAAAGGCCCTGCCTCAAAAACAAAACAAAACAAAGTGATAAACAACAACAAAAACCCCAGGGTCTCATACAACTCAGGATGGTATTGAACCTACTATGTGGCTATGGTTGGCTTTGAACTCCTGATCTTCTTGTTTCCATCTCTTAAATACTGGCATGTCAGTTGGGTACTTTGGAAGCATGAGTTGACTTTATAGAAATTGGTCATAGTTTATGAAGAAACATATAAATAATAAAGTGGACTTGCTTTAAAAAAAATTCTGGATATAGTTTCTCCTTGTTCTTTTGATTGGTTTGGGGTCTGTAGGTTTTTTAGATGTGTGTTTTCTATGTCTACAACTGTAAATCATCTATATTACCGTTTCCCTGGTTTGAGGAATAGCATTTATTTTAACAAGAATTAAAAAAAAAAAAAAAAAAGAGGTTTCCTGAATTTTCCTTTTTTTAAGTAATCTCAGATACCAGATCAGACCTTTGTAGTTTATCAGTACATTCATATTCTTGTTTTTTTCCCCAAGATGCAAATTGACTTAATATTTTCCATACTGTTTAGTATGTTTCATTCAGATAACTCTTATTTTTTTTTTAATTTTAGCACATTTTTTTGTTTAGCACCCTTTGGGTGGCTTAAAAATGGCCTATAAGAGAAGGCAGAATAGAGAAAATGTGGCATATAGCATATAGGTTCAATTATCAACTGTCTACTCATCCTTTTCAAACCCTGAATTCAGATTCCTAGATCACTGGATGAACTTTGGAGCTGAACCCAACAGAATTGCAACAACAGTGCTGAGTTTACTTTTCCCTTGAATCCTCAGTCTTCAACCAGTATACATCTTAGTAGTTTGAACACAATCAAATGTAATTTTGTATTTTGCCACTGTGCTTTTTTCCCCCCACATAATGTATTTAAGAACACACGAACACACACGAACACAACACACCTCCCTAAACTTGGTCAGAAGGAAGCTTAGGCATGATTTACTTCTTACTCTTGCCTTTAGGAAGTTTTAATGAGACTGTGTTGTTTGGCATATGCCTCCAACTGTAGCAAGTCAAAAACTTAGGTTGTGTTTGTGTGTGAGTTACGTTTTGGTGAATGAGTACATGAAAGAGGTTACCGAGAATTGAGGGGGAACACGGAGAAAGAAATACGAGATTATTTGGGGGTTCATAAAAGGTTTCAAATTGCTGATCTGCTTTAATTCTTATTTTCTAAGTAATCATTTGTAGACAAGGCTGACCTTGAACTTGGTATGGATCTGCAGAGGACTTTGAGCAGCCATTTATGTGGTGCTGGGGATTGAACCCCTGGCATGC